GTCCCCGAATCTGCACTTTTTAAAAGGTTCAGCTCGGTGAGCTCGCCCAGCCAGCAGTGGAGATCAGGGAGGGCTCCCAGAGATGGTGACGTCTGGGTTGTAGGAGAGGGAGGTGTGTTCCTGGCCAAAGGTACAGCTTGTGCAAAGGCCTGGCAGCAGAAGAGTGCAGTTTGAGAAGCTGCAGCCGGAGTGGAGAATGAGTGGGGAGGAACAAGGATGGGGAGGACGAGATAAGGCGGGCTTCTGGCGTTCTGGCCCCAGTCCAGGAAGAACTGGGAAGCTGTGTTACCTGTCTCTGTAGTGGAGACAGGAGGAGCAGGTTTAGGGGGAGATGCCAAACCGAATCAGGGCACTGTTGGATCTGAGCTGCCCTGGAATACGGGGTGGGGGTGCAGCTTGCTAGAAAGAGTAGAACTGGAGCCACAGTCCTGGAGGCAGGATGAGCAGCAGAACTAGAGGCTGGGGCCTGGAGACCATCTGCCTCCATGGGCGGTCTGAGAGGATCGGAGGGTGGTAACCGCGGAGTCAGGCACAGAGCCCACCCCGGTGCTTGGGGGCTCCCCAGGGATGGCTGGAGGGGGCGTCCTCACAGCAGGCATCCTCAAGCATGACTTGGCACCAGACGCCTGGGCCTCCCTCGAGGGGACTGAGTCATCCTGGGCGGGGGCGGGAGCGGTAGCGGTAGAGGGCACTGGTTGCCAGGGCCATCCAGACACTTGTCAGGAGCATAAACACGGCTCCAGTGAGGCGGCCCAGAGATGTCGGGACCATCTCTGTGTCTGGCCCAGTGGCTGTCGCCTCCTTGCAGCTTCCCCTTCTGGCCAGTCCTCTCCTGCCCAGGGCTGCTCATTGCTGTCTGCTTAGACAGTGGCTGGTTCCCTGCCTCAGCCTTGGAATCAGGCCTGAAGTCAGCCTTGGCAGGGCTGCTTGAACCAGAGTGGGTGATAGCAAGGTGCTCAGTCCTGCTCTGGGCCTCTGAGGTATCGGGGTGGTTGGGGCAAGTTCTGAGAAGGAGGCCAGGCCAAACGGGCATCTGAAGCCAGGGGCCCACACCCTGTGGGAGTGACCAGACCCATGGTGGAGGTGGGCACAGCCTGGGAGGAGAGGCCTGTGGGTGGAGCTGTCCAGCCATCCTGGAGCCAGTGACAGATGTCTGGTTATACTGTGCACCTCAGGGCTGTCTTGGTGGCTGCTAGATGCACACGCATCCGAGCCCCACATTGCTCCTGCCCACACCGTGTCCATGACCTCACCTGCTTCCTTCTGTGGCCCTGAGAGTTGGCGGGATGGTGGCCATCTGTCCGGTTCGCACATGAGGAAAGGAGGCTCCAGGAGGTTTCATGACTTGTCCAAGGCAGCACAGGCCAGTCTGGGGGACAGGGCTGGAGTAGCTTTCCCTGTGAGGGAGGTCCTGAGCAGGACCATTCTTGGCCACAGGACTCAGCTAATTCCCTTGCCCATAGAAGTCCATGCTGTGCTCTGGGCTTGGGCCCCAGCCTGTCTGCCCATCTCCCTGTCTGCCCATGTGGCCCCTGGTGACTACTGAGGCGTTTTCGATTTAGGGTCTACTGAGATCTTAGCTTAGGAAAGGCCTTGCAGGGCCTCCTGTCCCCTAAACTGCCTTACCCCGTTGGGCCCCCAAAGAAGGCTGAACTCTGCCTGGGACACACAGCCCAGCCCAGCTCTGGAGGCAGCCCAAGGACAGTAGGGGCAGAGTCTAAGAAGTCCATACTTGACCTCTAGGATCAGGCTCCCATGGTCCTCAAGGGGGTACCCCCGCACATGCTGGGGTATATGTACTTGCAGACATGAAACACACAGTGCACATGAGCACACTTGTACACATGCATGTAAAACATGCAGTGCACAGTGCACGCTTGTACACACATGTAAAGCACACTGTGCACACGAACACACTTGTACACATGCACATAAAGCACACGGTGCACACGAGCACACTTGTACATGTGCACATAAAGCACACGGTGCACACGAGCACACTTGTACATGTGCACATAAAGCACACCGTGCACACAAGCACACTTGTACACACGCATGGACCACGCTGAGATTTTTCTCTCCAGGCATATGTACTCCCATGCTTAGATTCACAGTGCACACAGACATGCTGTCACCCTAGGCCTGTGGCACTGCTCATATACATTCTCTCACATGTGGACACATGCCCTTACACGCACAGCCTCGAGTGCCAGGCCCCATCGCCCGGACACGCGGCAAGAACCTCGGGCCTCCAGGGGCCGGCCGCCTCCCTTGCAGGCAGACAGCTTAGTCACCTGAACTGGATCCAGGCGAGAGCAGGGGGGGAGGGCTGGAGGGCCTGACGTCAGCCCTCACAGCCGCCTGCTGCCGCCTGCCCGCCCGCGCACCCATCTGGGCCACAGCGTGTCCCAGGCGATCACAACAGCAGCACAACAACTCACTTTTACGGAGCTTCCTTAATGGCAGGCCCTTTCTGGGTCCCTCAGGGTGTTCACTCTACTCCTCACGGTCACCTGTGAGGTGAGACCTGCTATTAGCCCCACCTTCAGATAGGAAAACCCAAAGCACAAAGGTGATGTCACCTGCCCACAGGTGCAGCTGGTGAGGGTGGGCAGCCTGGCTTCCAAGCTGAGCCTAAACCAGGTCCCCAGCCCCAGACGAGCAGTGAGGCTTCTGCCCTGCCCTGCTGTGTGGTCCAGGTAGCCCATCCTGCCCCTGGCTGGCCTCACTCTCCCCATCTGCAAACAAGGGGAAGGGAGTTAAAGGTTAAAGGAGGATGACCCTTGCTGGGATAGAACCTCAGGGAAATCATATGGAAATTCCATGGGCTCTGGCAGCCTGTGCCTTCTGCCTGTGGTGGCTCCCAGGCCCCTGGTCCCTGGCTGGGGCCAGAGGACAGGAGCTCCTGACTGCAGTTCATCCTCTGGGGCCTGAGGCTTATTGAGACTGCTTTCCCATCTGTCCAAGGGGCAGGGTTGTAATGATCACTATGGCAACCACTCCTTTATTCCACAAATATTTATCGAGCTCCTATTACGTGCCAGGCACTGCTGAAGATACCCATGATCTTATGGAGACAAGGCAGACAAGAGCCCTAATCTCATGGAGTTTACGTTCTGGTGGGAGAAGTAAGGCCCGTAGAGTGGTGGGGGGCATAGGGGCAGCAGAGGGCTACAAGGAGGAGCCTGGGCTGGCTTGGAGGGCTCCTCTCAGCCTAGGCTTCCTTATTCCTGTAGGCCATCTGGTTGCCGAAGCATTCTGAAACACCAACACCACTCACTACTCCCTCGCACCTCCTCCAGGGAGGTTTCCCTGATATGACACTCTAGCCTCATTCATTGCTCCCTCTCACTTTCTCCAGAGAGGCCCTCCTATGCTGCAGCCTCACTCACTGGTCCCTCTCACCTCTTCCAGGTAGGCCTCATCTGGCCTCACATCCAGGGAGGCCTCCCTGGTGCACCAGCCCTACTCATCTCCAGGAGTCCTTCCTGATAAGTCCAGCCTTATCTTCCCCCTTTCTGCCCCCATTAGCTCCACTACCTGCAGGCTTACATTCCTTCAACACTGACAGCCAGACACAGGGGTCTGGTCCCACCTCCAGCCACAGTCCACATGCCTCTAAGCCCTGCCATGGATCTCGGTAGTAGGGAAGGGGCAGCGGCCACTGTGCAGATGGGAGATTGAGGCTCCGTGGGGATGAAGCCTGCTGAGGCCCCGTAGTAGGTTGCAGGCAGAACTGGAACCCAGCCCAGGCTCCTCCTCAGCAGTGGACCCCAGCCGGTCCTGCCTCCTTGACATCTGTCAAAGCAGTGGGATGAGGGAATGAGGGGTGAGAGCGGCACAGTGCCCGTTAGACTCATGGTTGCAGAGTTGCTGTGGGGGCAGAAGTTGCCACCAGACAGGAAGGACAAACGGTCAGGAGGCCACTCACTTCCTTTTCCTGAGCCCATGCAGGGAAAGGGAAAGGGCCTCTAGCTGCAGCCAGTGCTCAGCCTGGGGTGAGAGGGTCCTGGTGTGAGTGTCAGGGTTCAGCCAGGGTCAGCAGTATCTCAGGGTCCTGACGGAAGGTGAGGGCTGAGGCTGCTGCTCAGTCTCGGGCGCTGGGTTACTCCTTGGCCTAGGGCCTGGTTAAGGACGCAGAACAGACTAGGTCTGGGGTGGCACGAGGCTGGGCTGAGGGTCACACCTCAGCCTGAGCAGATATGGCAAACACTTTGGCCACATGAAAGAAGGAAGGAAGGAAGGAAGACCCAGGAGAGGAATGACCTTTAGTGCAATGATGTCTAGCTCGACAACCACCAAAGTCCCAGCCCTCCCCTGTGGACCCCTGTGTTGGGCCGAAGGCTCTGCTGGGGTAGGGAAGGGAGTAATGGGAGACATGCCCTGCAGCCCTGGTGGCCTTCCTGAAGGGTGAGAGGAGGTGAGAGAGGCTGGAGCACTGAGGACGTCTTCCTGGAAGCAGTGAGAGAGATGGGGGTGGTAGGCTGGAACATCAGAGGCCTCCCTGGAGGAGGTGAGTGAGCCTGCAGCATCCGTGCCCAGCTCTGCTTCCAGGAGCCAGTGTTGGAATGCTGTGGTGTCCAGGCTGGGGCTGGTAAGGCTCTGGATTGCATGTAGGGTGGGACCGGGCCGACCCCAGGCCTCGTTCTTCCCTGTGCTGCTGGCCTCCGGGCTGTTGCCCACGTTCATCTGTCTTAACTCCAGGATGTCAGATTTTTTTGCCTCTCCATGAAGCCGGCTTGGCAGAAGTGCCTGCTGTATAGGTAGGGTTCTGAGGTCTAGGGGGCTGGGGTCAGCAGAACCAGACGAGTTCCTGCAGCTCGGTCTGTTAGTACACAGGCTGGAGTTTGGGTACTAACAGACCAGGGCAATGGCGTGGAGGTGGGACCTCCTGTGTAGCTTTAGCTGCAGACAGAGAAGGCCTAGGCTTGACCTTCCTGCCCCATGGCCAGCCTGACGGTCAGGAGTAAATTCTTCTCTGTCCTCTTTTCCTTAGGTTTCTGACAAGGCTACAAAGAATACCCCCTTTACCGAGGCAATGGAGGGGGGCCCGGCCATCTGCTGCCAGGACCCTCGGGCAGAGCTGGTGGAACGAGTGGCAGCCATCGACATGGCTCCATTGGAGGAGGCGGATGGTGGCTCAGAGCCTGCCAGGAACGGTGTGGACCCTCCACCACGGGCCAGAGCTGCCTCTGTGATCCCCGGCAGTGCATCAAGACTCCCCCCAGCCCGGCCCAGCCTCTCAGCTAGGAAGTTCTCCCTGCAGGAGCGGCCAGCAGGAGGCTGCCTGGCAGCCCAGGCTGGCCCTTATGCCACGGGGCCTGCCAGCCACATTTCTCCACGGGCCTGGCGGAGGCCAACCATCGAGTCCCACCACGTGGCCATCTCAGATGCAGAGGTCGGTGGGGTTGTTTATGAGACTCTCTGCAGGCCTTAGTGGAGACCCTTTTTGGCCCCCTCTGTGCCACACAGTTGTATTGCCTTGGTTTGCTTACTCCCAGAGCTGGGGAGCTCACTGCCTAACAGTATGGTCTTTTCCTGCCCTTGGGGAACTCCATCTGGATGGACCAAAGGCTGTCTCCTGTGTCTTGCCATTCCCACCCCTACCCAGCAGGCCTAGGAAATAGGTTCCTCCATTGTCCCTAAGAAGTCCTCTTAGAGATTTGAAAATAGATGGTATGTCCCCCTGTCCCTAAGTCTTCTCCAGCTTAAGTCCCCACCTCTAATCCTGTCTCTTAGATTCTGCCCTGGCTTAGAAGCTTCTGACCCCTGGGCTCTTGCTGGCCCCATCCTTGCCACTTAGAGCTGACCGTGAGCTTGGGTACTGAGCCGTCTACAGATTGCAGAGGCTAAGCTTTTCATGCCTGAACCAAGGCTCTTATTCTTCCACCCCTAAGACTCCCTCATCTTTCTTGTCCGTGCAATCTAGACTTTCTCATTCTGTTGCTCTGGAAATACTTGCTCACGGGTTTCTCACAGAGCCAGACAGGAATTAGTGCCTCCTTCCTTCACCACTTCCTGTTCCTGGGGAGCAGAGCATAGCGTGGCTTCACCAGTCCTGTTGCCACACGTTCCCAAGGCCTCTCGTCTCTTACGATGGTGATGGCACCACCAGGTTTGCCTCTCTGAACTTGAAGGATTGGCAAGACTAGAGGTCCACGGATGAGGGGCCTAAGGCCAGATTGGGCTCCTGAGGTAGAAGCAGTGCCACCTCTGGGTCAAGCTGTACCTGATGCTCCCCCCTTTCCCTCCCCCAGGACTGTGTGCAGCTGAACCAGTACAAGCTACAGAGTGAGATTGGCAAGGTAGGGCTAGGGTGGGCCAAGAGCTGTGGGGGCTTCAGGATCCTCTGCTTTTTCCTGCTGCTGTGTGGGTGGGAGTGTGAGGCAGATCCAGGAGCCCCCGGCTGGAGGGAAGGAAAGTGCTGTCCTCTATAGGAAGTACCCAGGGGAGGGTAAGAGGTGACTCCTGATTCCTGACTCCCCAGAGTTCCTGGTGGATGACAGGGGGCACTGAGGAAGGCATGGGGCTATGTTGAGTGGCGAGAGCACAGGAGTCCCATCCCCCACTTCTGCCTGAAATCTATGCCCATGAGCCCGCTGGTGTTGGGGGTGGAGAAGGGATGCAGGAGGAAGGACAGAGCTGTTTGGGCTCTCCATGTCCTGAGCAGTCCTGGGGGAAGCTGCCCTGCCCAGGCAGGGCTAACCAGTGTCTGTTTGCAGGGTGCCTACGGTGTGGTGAGGCTGGCCTACAACGAAAGTGAAGACAGACACTACGTGAGTCTGGCCGAGTCTGGCGGTGGGACAGAGGTGTTGTTCAACCAGCCCCTAGGAGACTGGAGGGTGGGCCAGCAGGTGTGCCCAGAGGATAAAGGTCAAGGATCCCTCCAAGGGAGTGATTTGCCTGTCCCTAGGGGTATGCGAAGGAAATGAGCTTCCTGACCTTGGGGATATAGGAGCACAGGCTGGATTCCTCCAAGGGGAGAACTCCAGAATGGCTTAAGGGGCAATAGAGGAAGGCCTAGACTCACCGCCTCTGACCTCAGTGCCAGTGGCAGATGCCCAGCGTACCTTTCTGGTACGTAACCAGCCTGGCCTAGCCCCATGTGTCTGGACACAAGTGACATTTCTTTTTTATTTTTTAATTTTCTTTTTTAAAGGATTATTTATTATTTTTATTATTATTTTTTTCACATGTGTTTTGCCAGAGAAAGAGAGAGAGAGAGAAAGAGCAAAAAAGCAAACTGCTAGGTCTGGGACTTGACCAGCAGTCAGTCATGTAGGAATTCCAGCACCTTAACCACCGTGCCACCTGCTAGCCCCCACCAGTGACATTTCTGCCCCTTCCTCTTTAGGCAATGAAAGTTCTTTCCAAAAAGAAGTTACTGAAGCAGTATGGCTTTCCACGTATGTATCATCTGGTCCTTCCCTGGGAGCTCCAGGCCTGGGGGCAGAGAAGGAGGACACAGGGGTCCCTGTCCAGTGTGGGTTAGGGATCGGGATGGGGAGGGGTCAGCACGTGCAGAGGCCTGGGCATGGAATGTGCTTGCTGTGTTGGTTTAAGACTACAGTCTTGCAAGGGTCTCGCTGGCAGCTGTTTGTAGAGCTGTGGTGAGGCTCAGTCACCCAGAGTAGGGGCTTGACTCCCCTTCCTGGTCACAGGTCGCCCTCCCCCGAGAGGGGCCCAGGCTACCCAGGGAGGACCGGCCAAGCAGCTGCTGCCCCTGGAGCGGGTGTACCAGGAGATAGCCATCCTCAAGAAGCTGGACCACGTGAATGTGGTCAAACTGATCGAGGTAGGAGGAGGAGCAGAGAGCCCTGTGGGGGCAGCTTCTGGTGCTGGGATACTCAGAGCTGGGGATCCCACCAATGGAACAGATGTGGCTGAGGCCTTCAAGGGCAGGGCCCATCTTGGGACAGGATGTAGGAGGCTTTAGGGGTCCGTTCTGGCTGGTCAGAGATGTTCTCAAGTTCTGGGGCTAAGGGACACCAGAGAAAAGAAGTGAGCCCTTCATCAAGCCGGGGGCAGAAGGGCTGGATGCTGTGGGGTGGGTTGGGTTGTGGGCGGTGATTTCTGAGGCCCCATCCGTCTGGTACCCGTAGAGTTCCTGCTCCATTGTCTGGGGTGGCCACAGAGCATGCTAGGGGTCCTGGGGCTGGACAAGGAGGCCGGGGCCCCCACCATGACTCCTCGAGCCCCACCCCCACATCTGCTCCCTCTGACCAGGTCCTGGATGACCCAGCCGAGGACAATCTCTATCTGGGTGAGTGACCCAGCGCATTCTGCAGCAGCTCACGTAGGGCTGGCTCGAGGGCTCCCTGCAGACGCGTGTGACCTCCGGGTGGGCTGTGTGAATGCACTTACCTGGGCAGAGGCAGAACACCTTCTCGAAATCCTGAATCCCCTTGCCC